AAAAAAAAAAAAAAAAAAAACCAAATAAAAACAAATTAGCCAGGCATGGTAACTCATGCCTCTAGTCCCAGTTACTCTAGAGGCTGAGGCATGAGAATTACTTGAACCCGGAGGCAGAGGTTGCAGTGAGCCGAGGTCGTGCTTCTGTACTTCTTCTTGTGCAACAGAGAGAGAGAGAGAGAGAGAGAGAGAGAGAGGGAGAGAGATTCTGTCTCAAATAAATAAATAAAGCTGCAAAAATAGAGTCTAAAATTAACAAAATAGGGAATTTCAGTTTAACAATTATATTTTAGCAGAAACATATAAATAGCAGAAAACACAACTAGGGTGGAAAATGGCAGTCTTTGGGGAGCCGGACTGGGGAAAACGAAGATACTTCTCGCTCTTAATGTAAGCCTAAGAATACAATTCCTTTGGAATATTATGTCATGCATTCCTTTCATAAAATTTAATACATTTTTAGGTCTTTTTACTAAAGACATGTACACAGATGCTATATATACTGATATGTACTCATGGTTTCCCCAAAGTAGACAAGAATGTGTATTTCAAAGGTTGACTTTTGTGTCTGGCCCTTGTGGCTCAATAAGGAATTAGTAATTAAAAGTAAAGATAAAGACTGCAAATACTTTTGCACTTCATTCAAAAATGAATGAGAAGAGCTCACTTTAAGTCAACTGAAAGTAGAGGTTCATGAGGAAAAAACGTTTACTTGCCTTGTAAGATTTTTTTTGTCACTCAACTGCAAATTTAAGAATGCTGTACCTGGTAGGTTCTAAGGGAGAATGGTTTGGTAGAATTGGGCAAATACAGTTTACACAACTTACAGGTATATTTTTCCAATCTTGACCAGCTTTCCAAAAGCTTTTGTGTTTTATTTTTCCAACAGCCAGTCACTGGAGATTAGGGTCTTCCTATAGTGAAAGAGGGTCCCCTTGAATACACCTGATGATTTCGCTCCTCATATCTCACTGGTTTTGAATATCACTATGTCCTGAGTAGATCCACATAATCACATTACATGTGTTAGATCAAACTAGAGATTTCGGAGAGGGAAATCTTGTTTTCATAATGAATATTCACTTAAAATGAATAAATATATAAATAAACATACTATGATCAATATCTGATATATAATAACACAGTAGCTGACAGATGTAAATAAGGACAGCTAAGCACAGCTAATGTGGATTCAGGTGATATTCCCATCACACTGTTCATTCAACTTTGTGCTACAAGTTTTCTTGGCTTCTTATGACTATTAATTGAAACATGTATAACGAAGTTCTTTGTAAACAATACATGTAGCAATTAATTAATTACACTTTGTGCCATGGAACGTAGTGATAAATGTTCAGAATAATATACTTTATAGTAACTCTAAATAAAAATTGATCATAATCTTGATGATTGTAGCATTGCTTCTGAGTCTGATTTTGATAATAAAATTTATCAGCAACTTATTAAAAATGTAAATAACTTAAGTATTTCCATCAAATGAGCTTTCTTCATGTGAAAGACTTAGAAAGAGTATTTAAAATAAAATAGAGAATCAACCACTTGGACACGACGACTTTATTGCCATATGAAAACAGACTCTGCTCCTTTAAAACTCATTGAAACATGAGTAGGAAACTGTGCCCATCCCTCCAATTAGTACAAACCTATACAATTTCATATTTCATTATCCATAACCATTTTTCAGAATATATTGGTACTTTGCTTAGGATTAAATGGACTTACACTGGTCTTAAAAAAAGAAACTAGGACAAAAAATGAGAACTATGAACATAGAGATGTCTACCAGAAAGTTGATGAAAGCTACGGGTGGACTCTAACCTGGCAAAATGAATCAACTTCACATTCCCTATCAGATCCCTTTAAAAAACCTTCACTTTTGCCTACCTCCCCATCCATCAAAAACAGACGCAGCTATGCCCAGATAGATGGAAATAAAGCACTTTATAAGATCGTTATTACTAAACTTAATTCTCGTTCATTCTCAACAGAATCTGTTGCATATACACAGAAACAGTTTCCAGAATACAAATATACTTGATTATTACTGGTATAAAATTTAATGACAAGAGATATGAAGGGAAAACACAAAACTTCATATACTGGAATATACCTGAACATTCACTGGCTTGCTTTGTGTTTTTTTGTTTTTGTTTTTATGTTTTGTTTGGTTTTTTGGTTTGAGGAGGCAGGAAGGCATGGGGGTTCTAGCAAAGGAAGTCAAAGACTTAGAGATGAATTTATGAAAATATGACCTTTTCAGATGACTGGCTAAGGACATCAATTATAATATGTTGGTCTATATTAGCATAGAAAGAAAACAGAAGTTCCAAGCCCCTTAATAGCTTAGCAGAAAATAAATAGTCATGCACTGCATTTTAACATTTATAAAAAAAAAACCAGAAGAATTAAAAAATTTGTTATTCATTAAATTCAAAGTATAGTTATTTTATGATTAGATTAAATGTAGCCAACAATTCTTCATCAAGAAGACTGTCCTTTGCTTTTTATGTGTTTGAAACAGAAAATCCTTTTATTTCACTCGTTTTTAGTAATAACGGCTACTGATATCTCTAAAGACACTGAGGCACCGGACATTTTACCATTTGAGTCAATGAAGTTACAGAGAGAACAAGCGACCTACATTATATTCAAAACAGTGTAATAAGACCCCAACTCCCAGACAAAGTCTTCCAAACAAGGAAAATCACAGGTCCCATGGCAGGAACATGATGTGTGAGAGACATGGATCATGCTATGAGATGAAGAACATAGACTTTGAGGTCAGAAGTGCTTGGCTTAAGTAGAAGCCCTGTTACTTGCTTGAAAAGAGTGCAGCCTGGGGCAAATCTCTTGAGCTTTTGTAGCTGAAACATCCACTTCTATGCCTGTCCTCCACCTTCCCAGTGTTATTATGCAGAGCTCAAATAACACATCAAACTGCATCACACTTTATAAGGTGTTATGCAAACAAAACACATTATTTTCCGTTCTTGGGGAAGACTAAAAAAAAGCTGAATTATAGAATCAACCTGAAAACTTTTTAACCTAAAGTGTAATAAGATCCTGTAATTAGATCCTGTATTAGTTACTGTAGAAAAGCAAATTTCCTTTACTGCCATTTAATTTTTTATAACAATATTCTGAATAAAACCCAATCTGATTAGTTTCTTTGAATGATTGTGAAGAAATTTAGTGTTATAGGTAAAATAATTTTAAAATTTTATTTTCATGCTTTTGGTCTGGGTGTGGCAGATTTTAATGGCAGTAAGATAAACTTTTAATGAACAGAGAAAAACAGGTCAAATAGGAAATATTGTGTCACATAAAAATAATAGCATTTCTTCTTATTTAATACACAATCAGTATTTCCACATGGATTTTCAGAATTTCATCATAAATACTGATAAAGAGACCAATCTCACTTCCTTTATTGATTACAGGGAATTACAAGATGAGAAATGTTAAAATATCCAAAAATTCTAGTCTGGAATTTCATTATTATCTTTTTTTCTTGATGACTTCAGTTTAAAATAATTATAATTATTACAAATATCCATCTAGAATACTAGAACTAATAAAGCAATTTCAATTCTGTGAGCTCATTTAACACCATTCTTATAATAGTCATTTTGTGTTGCATATAACATAATACCTGAAACTGGGCAATTAATAAAGAAAATAATTATATTTCTTACATTCTGGAGGCTGGGAAATCCAAGGGCATGGACTGGTATCTGGTGAGGGCCTTCTTTCTGGTGCAGTCTCTCTATAGAGTCCCAAGGGAGCAAGAGCATCACATGGTGAGAGGGCCGAGTATGCTTACATGCTTGTTCAAGGCTTCCTTTTCTTATAAATCCATCACTTCCATTTCCAGGATAACCTATTAATTCACTAACCCACTTATCCATTCATGAGACAGAGCCTTCATTATCCAATCAACTCTTAGAGGCCCCACCTTTTTATAATGTCACATTGGAGATGAGTTTTCAACACTTGTAATTTAGGGGACATATTCAAGCAATAGCAAAATACTTACACAATCAAGTATGGCAAGTTTTATCACAGTGATGACTGTAGTTGCCGATAGTACAGCTTCTAAGAAAGAAGCAGTAATGATGTCCAAACCTTTTGACAGAAAGACCTGGGCCCCTGGTCATTGCAAAAGATTGCTCAGCTGTGTACTAATACTCAAACTGCATGTTCACGTCAAACCCAATTGTGACTCAATGTAAAGAACAACATTGCAACAACCTGAAATCTCATATCTATGTGTAAATTAATAAATCACTTGGACACATTGGCCCAGATCATTTTATAGTCCCTTACAAACAGACAGACCACCTTAGCTGCCACCAATGTTCTAGATGATTTCCAGATTTCTTTCTGGTCTGAAATCCAGGGCTCTGTGTTGGGTCCTGGGAATGCCAGCAGGAGTTGGCAAAGTGATGAGACAGTTGGACTAGTACAACCAAATTAAAAGACAGTGATGGATTTTCCTTAAGCTTTCAAGTCATAGTGTTTAGTTGAAGCCAAGGCTGCACGAGGAGGCTTGAATCTGTCCTAGCTAAAATGAACCCTCAGCAATTTAGGTGTGCCAGACACCCTGGCATCACTCAGCTGCATCATGAACATGCATGCACATACACTCATGCACACACGGATAAAAAATAAATACCCTCAGTAACAGAGATTTAGCAATTACCAAATATATTTAATCATGTAGAATATCTCATTGGGTTCTTATACCTATCAAAGTTATGATTGTTAGACTCGCTGTACTCTATAACTAAAAAATATATGATGTACTGTTTTCATCCAACAATAATTCTGAAATGTCTCCAGGGTTTTTTGTCTGCACATGTGGCCTCACAACATGTTATATGTTTACAGTAATAATAAAGTTTTATAAATTTTCTAACTACTTTGTTAATACTTTGAAAGCTAACTCAGACTTTGAATTAGATATTTAAAAATTTAAACGTCAACACAAGCATTACTTTCTTCAAATGAACAAAAAAGATGACCAGAAAGAATATGTAATTTTTTTTTCTTTTTTATTTAAGGAGCTAAAGACTGTGTAAACAAATATATCTAGATAACATAGTTTTCTAATAGTTGTAATAGTCGCAAGCATTATTCTCTGTCATCACTGCTTGTGCTATTATCAATTGAATACTCACATCAGAAATGGATCAAGTCAAACTCTAGATATACTTCCTCTTGACATCTTGGGAGGAACAAATATAACATTGGAAGAAACCCATTCCAAACTGCCTATGAGATAAAAAACATTTTTCAGTGAAATTGATGCAAAGACATTGGGAAGCTTCAGAAAAAAACTGTTTCATGCATTACGGAAGATATGCATTTTCTTCTATTACCTTTTGTTGATACCATTTTCATCAATAAAGGTCTTTGGCTGCAAAAGATACAAAGAAAACCCTTTTTATATTATAGTGAGAACAACCTTGATATACTTCTTCTGGCTTTGAATTATAATGTATATCATCAGTAATGTAAGTTGTTATAATTTACTTCTGACATTAAGATGTTGCTTTAGGGCATATTGTTGCAAATGTATCCTATTCACTTTCTTGCCTTCTAAATGCCCTTCATGTTTCAGTAAAACAATCCAATCAAAACTAAAGACCAAAAACACTGTAAAACAAATCAAGCATACAAACGGTTTCTAAGCATTCCCGTTACATTTTAGTCTTTTAGCCAGAGGCTCTAAAATTTCTTAAGCTGTATATAGTAGTTTAAGTTGGCAAATGGGGCACAGAAAATGTCATCATGAATATTGTTTTCAGTCAGGTTCTGAAGGACTGCAAGGAAATACCTGGGGGATAGTAGAATTATTTGGATCATGAGAAGCCATCCCAGGTACAGCTCTCAAAGATTATATTCAAGGTGAATTAACCACATGCCTTTCTCTTGGTGCAGGGCCCTTGTGACTGTAACCTCACACTGGAGCTAGAAGCCAAGCCCACTGTATCCCCCCTACTGAGATGTTCCCAGTAAGATAGAGAGAGATCCCTTCTGAAGGGGTTGATTTGTTTGTGGTTGGTGGCAAAATAATTCAGAGCTGTTAAGAGATTTCCACCTATAGAGTCCCTGGAATATAGACTAAAAAAACAATTACTGTTTTTTTTTTTTTTTTTTTTTTTTTTTTTTTTTTTTTTTTTTTTTTTTTTTTT